GTTCTGTGTCTCTGAACACATGACTCGCGTGCCTCGTAGATGTGGTAGAATAAATTAAATTTTAGGTACCGTTATTATATCATTTTGATGCTTAAACGAGAGAACAAGGTTCCGTTAAAAATTCAGCAATTAAAAAATCCTAATTTCATCCCCATTTTTCTGGTGTTCCCTAATCCGTTCAACTATTTAACGAGTCTACCTCTGACATCAATGACGTACCGTACACGATACGACCTCGAGGCCGTGAGCATGATGATCTTTTCTATAATCTACAGTTGAATACGATCCTGATTGTACGATTCGACATTGAAACGATGAATACCGTTGGCGTTACTCACGGGAGCGATTGGTCTTCAGTTCAGGGTCACATAACACATTAAATAGTCCATGTGTTTATTTAATAGAATTTTACCAAAGGTGCTGTCATTTTGTCGTCAAATATTATATAAATTCTACATATCTAATACAGTCTTATATATATCTAATACTCTCGGCACTGACTTTGGAACAAGTCCTCATATTAAGAGTGCGTCTCACTAGCAATGACCTAATATCGACCGACTAGCGTCTGCGTCCAGAATGACTGGACCCTGACAACAAATTCAGCAGCAGTAGTAGCCGACAGTCAAGAATGATAAAAATGATACAGAAAATCCTTCAGACTTTAAGTAAACTTCGTCTTTCGAACTGTTCGGGCATTTCTTCCGACTAACTGAGCGATTCTCAGTCCTACACAGCGATAAATTATTCATTGACCAGGGGCCATGCTTTCAAAACTCTCCAAGAGAACGTTAGGTACTTACGCTCTATTTTCTGGTCTATGATTGGTGGATTTTGTTTGAAAGGCCGTCAATGATTGACTGATTAACTTACGATCTCTTAACTTTTTTGTGAAAGTTATAGGCCCAGAGAATTAAACGCTCTCCGAAGCGCATCAAAGTGCCGTCAGGACCGAGTTTGAAAGTTTAAGGATGAGTTGTTGAGGTTCCGAGAGATGTCACCTTTGCTGCATCTGTCTTAACGTTATTTCGTAAACTATTGACCAGGGGCCATGCTTTCAAAACTCGCTAAGTTAACGTAAGTACTTACGCTCTATTTTCTTGTCTATGATTGGTGGATTTTGCTTGAAAGGCCGTCAATGATTGGCTGATGAACTTACGATCTCTTAACTTTTTTGAAAGTATGGGTCCATAGAATTAAACGCTCTCTGAAGCGTACCGAAGTGCCGTCAGGACCGAGTTTAAAAGTTTAAGGATGAGTTGTCGAGGTTCCGAGAGATGTCACCTATGCGGCATCTGTCTTAACGTTGTATCGTAAACAATAGCCTCACGCACCACGTTCGTGCGATATGAATTGAAGCCACGCATACACGTAGAGCATATTTCGTGCAGCCTTGGGTGTATATGCTGGGTCTATAAGCCTGCTTTAGGCCTACAGACCCACGCAAGTCTAACGAAAATCATGGTTCAATCCAGCGCGATTAAAGAGAACAACTCATGTAAGAAAAAACTCAACAGCGAGAATTAAATCAGTGTAGGAGCATTACAAAATAAACAATCAATTGCAATAGCAACGTTAGAAAAAACACCATAAATGATTATGCAAGAGGACTATTTTCAAGACAATAGCACCAGAGGCAACAACAGCAGCAGAACAGGAAGGAGGGTTAGCAGCAGATGTGCGCTGAGAGAGAGGGCCGGAAGCAGCAGCGGCAGCAGCAGCAGCAGCAGCAGCAGCAGCAGCAGCTACAGCAGCAGTACTGATGGCGACAGCAACGGCGGCAGCAGCAGCGGAGACGGACAACAGACAACGCGAGGGTAAGGGTGAAGAACAGAAATAAAATAACAAAGGAGGAAGAGGTATGGAGGAAAAAATAAGTATTCTGACATATGAACCTGCCTTCCACTTCGCTGAACTTTCTCAGCTAGCTGAGTCCCGAACCCGCGACTCATTGCGATCTCAGCCACGTGGCCGCCCTATCGACGACACTCATGTCATCAGCAAGGAAAGTTGAAAAAAATGAAGCAAGAAAAACAATAGGGTAGAAACGTTGAAAAAAAAGAAAAACAATAGGTAGAAATCATGACAATAAGATAAGAACCGTGTATGAACGAAGGCATGCGGAGGATAGCATAGTGTAAACGGAAAACATGGTAGAAGTCAGGAAAAATTCGGTAGAAATGATATACGAAAATCTAGGATAGAGACGAGATCAAGTGAACTAAAACAAGGCCTAAACTGGAGCAACAAGATACCACGATCGAATTGACAACAGTAAAAGAACATCAAGGTAGAAACGACAGCGGCAAAAGAAATTAAAAAAGAAAAAGCCACTAGAACATAATGATAGAAATAAGATTAACACGAGTAAAATGTGGCGAAAGTAGACTTGCTGTAGAATATATAGAAGAGCAGCCTGGAACAGCAACCATTGCTTAAATGAAGCAGCACGATGAGCTAAATGAAGCTACAACAAAAAACGTAAATGAAGCAGCACGAAGAGCATCATGAAGCTACAACAAAAGACGTAAATGAAGCAGCACGAAGATCTAAATGAAGCAGCTCATCACTGAAGCCCGTCAACGGTGAGGCCCTGGCGTAACGAACACTAATGAGCGGGAAACTCTATACCAGGGAATATACATTATACGAGCCATGTATACTATTATACAGGCGATGAATACATTATACGAGCGATGTATACATTATACGAGCCATGTATACTATTATACAGGCGATGAGTACATTATACGAGCCATGTATACTATTATACAGGCGATGAATACATTATACGAGCGATGTATACATTATATAGGCGATGTATCTACAATATCGTGCAATTAATCGCCAACAATTTATAATAAAACCAATAAAGAATGCGAACAAAAATTCGTGATTATCAACTGATTTCGTATGAATGGAAATCAAGATGGATTCAAATGCCGAAATGGTTAGTCATCGTTGAAGGCTGAACGGTAATTCACCAATTGGCAAGGCACACAATTATAAAGCAACTGCATTCGAGAAATAAAATATACAGAAAATAACAGCCTTTTTCTATGCTACAAGAAAACGGGGGAACAAAAACCAAATCCACATAGGTAGTCAATGTATATAGTATGCAATTACGATTAATTAGAGGCTGACCTTCCTCAAAAATACTGAAACAAACTTGAACATAATTTGCGTGCGGGACAGGAGGAGTAGGAGACTTGAAACCTGATTATTGCATACGTTCTCATCGGGCCTAAGATCTTAGAACCATCATTTGACACCGCAACTACGATGAATTAATGCAAGAATATCAGCAGCATCAATAACATCAGAAGCAACAACATCAGAAACAACAACATCAGAAGCAACAACATCAGAAGCAACAACATCAAAAAAGAAGCAGCAACATGAACAAAAGAAGCAGCAACACCGGAAGCAACATGAACATCAAAAGCAACATCAACATCAGAAGCAACATCAACATCTGAAGCAATAACAACAAAAGAAGCAGCAACATTAACAACAAAAGCAGGAGCAACAACCACATCAACAACAGAAGCAGCAACAACGAAAGCAACAACATCAACAACAGAAGCAACAGCAGAAGCAACAGCAGAAGCAACAGCAGAAGCAACATCAACAACGATAATAGCAGCAGCAGCAGCAGGCACACGTCGAGGCTGTAGGTAACCTGATCGAGGCGCGGCGTGACGAAGAAAAGCTAAGAAGTCCCATGATCAATATACGGTCACCGTGCGAGCTCAACGTATCGACTACCTCGGCCACGTCAACCTGGGCCATACAACTGAAAGCTTGAACCATACATCTAAGTTTTATGTTGTACTTATACCAAGTTGGTACTTCATAATTATATGGTATCAACCAAGGCCTCTAACCGCTGCTGGCTGTATTCACTATCACGTCATTATCAAACACGACATCATCAACTCCGTGAACTTTGACACTGACATTATCAGTGTACGCATATATTTAAATAAAAAGCGTCGTCTGCAGAGCAAAGCTGTATTCGCAATTGACATAGTTGATAGTACTTCAAGTCGCGCGTGCCGTTAAAACTTTTATACTCGAGACCACTCACGCAGTCACTTAATAGACTTCTTTTTTGGACCTTTTTAAAAATTAACTGAGAAATAATGGATTCACATTTATAATGTGCAGTGCAGGCTATTCAAAAACTAAACTAGATAAGGACGCCGTCTGCGAAGAGAAGCTAATAAGTCAAATGTAATGAATTGTAGAATAAAATTATACTTATTAAGTGAGGCACAACACTCACGGGAAACAATAATTGTAAAAATATCAGAGCCTGACACCAAACAGGTTTACGATATCGCTTTCCCGAACCTATGAAGCAATGAAAAACAAAGCCAGCCAGGAGACCCATAGAACGTTGTTAATTACAACGGAACATCGATATAGGTAAAACACCTCAATTAACACCTAGCACTTAACCATTAACAGAAATCTCAGTTGTTAATAGACTTTGAAGTCCGTCTAATGGCTATGAACGTCGCTACCATCTTAATTAATGCGCATCGTAATGGACTGGGAAATCTTGTTCACGCAATGCAGGGCGCCGGTGTCACCAAGGTTTTAAGTGGGCACATGAATACAAAATAATATAATGATAGTCACGTTTCCAATTTATAGGCTGCGCACAGTAATTTCGTTTCTTAACTCCATTTATTGTAACAATTTACCGACTATAGGCATTTTTCATGTTCTCTCTAGATAGAGATAAAATTAATTGCGCCATTACGTCGAGACGGCTAAAAGAAATTTAGCCGTACTCATGTTTACTCACGTTTAGCCTTCATTCTAGTTCAGAAATAAGGAACATAGATATAGCATAAGAAATAAGTATTGAAACTTTGAGCACTTATATTACATTATTAATTAATTGCTTATTATGTTAGCACTTACCTTATCAACACATATTGCACAAAGTTGAAAAATAAATTATAATAAATAAATTTGGTACTCACCGGCCAAGTTGGGGAGTGAGGCAGCAATCAAGACCAGGAAGAAGGGGAGAGACATCCAGAACGAGAACCATGGAGTTCTTCTGAGAACAGAAGGTCCCCACTTTGCAGCTCCAGTGTTCCTTGGGGAACTACTGCCTTCCCGACAAGGACTTGGTTCAACGAAATTTTGAGCCTTAGCGATGGGCAATTTTTGCCGCGAGTCTTTGGAATCGGTTTTGTTGCTTAGCACCGAGTTATTTGCACAGGGATGAACAATCACCGTAGATCTATCAGACATTTGGTTCTTTGGAAATGGGTTAATGATTTCACGATCGCCTTGTAGTCTATCAGAGTGCGCTAGAGATTCATCAGGTTTTAGTGCAACTGAAGAGCAGTTAGGTTCGCGCTGCTCACGACATGAACTAGAGTTTGTCAAGATACTACGCCTTAAACCATCTGTGAAGGGGTACTTTAAGCTCCATAGAACCATATTTAACGATTTTTCAAGTTTTTCTATAACATTGTAAGAGAATGAACCGTTTCCTCGACTATCACTTGCTTGACAGCAGAGATTGCTTTCACTTCTCGAAGACCTAGAGAGTCGTAATCTTTGGCTCGCGTTGTTGTATAAGCGCTGGACCAAACCAACTTGATTGTTGGACGCTAAACAGTTTTCACTGCCATTGCAGAAAGAACACAACTGCGTACTGGAGAAACTTGAAACTGGAAACCATTTCTGATCAATGGATATTGTGGCACCAAAACAACGATGCTTTGAAGATGGATCTCCCGTTTCCCGGATGTGACCGTTGTTGATGTTACTAGATTTATGACTACTGCACTGGTGACATTTGGATACGGCGACATCTTCACAAGAGGGAACCACGCTCCGCAAAGAGGACAAGATGTGAGAAGGGTAGTGCTCAGGTTTTTCCGTACAATTAGAACGGTTATCAATGACTTCTTGTTGCACATTAACGCAGTTTGAAAGCCTTCTGTTGTGTCGTCTGCGGTGAGAGTGTTTGGAGGAACGAGGGCTTGCACCCATGATGGGTGAAGAGGTCATCTTGGTTTCTGGATGCATCAGATGACTAGCAGACTCGAATCTTGCTGATGAATATCCGTTGACACAGCATCTGTAAAAATCGTCAGGTTAGTCCATTGCTTATTACCGGTCCAACTTAACTAGACATTCTGCAAAATTTTATACCAGAAAAATAAATGTGCAAAACAAGTTCTTCCGATTATTTCTTCTTCTTACCTTCAGTTTGGTACTTTTCTTAAATTGGAAGAATTTAAATTACTTCACATACTAAGGAAGAAATCCAGAAAAAATGAATTTACGTATCAATTGTCAGTAGTATCTAAGATACTTAGAAAAGTTTATAATCGCGATTTGATTTTTTTAAGAGACGAGTGCCAGCTAAAGTTCCACATAATAAAGAAATCTATGTTGCCTGTTAATACATTATTCCCAACATTTCAAAAATATGCTGGGAATGGCTACAAAACGCTGCAAAAACATGAGCAAAATAGATGAACATGTTCCTAAAGTCAACCTACTTAGGATCATCACATCAAATGACTACTACTGCAAGGTTGATGTTCGTAGAAATACCAAGTATTCGTAGAAATACCAAGTATTCGTAGAAATATGACCGGGAGACCCTGATAACCATAACCAGCTTTCCCTCAGGTCTTAGATCAAGGTTGAGGCGAGTGTCCGCCATATGGTGACCACTAGCGATTATTCTGTTGTCCATATGATTATATTTCTTTCCCTCAGGTCTTAGATCAAGGTTGAGGCGAGTGTCGGCCTTATGGTGACCACTAGCAATTATTCTGTTATCCCTATGATTATATTTCTTTCCCTCAGGTTTTAGATCAAGGTTATGGCTAGTGCATGTCCGCCATATGGTGACCACTAGCAATTATTCTGCTATCCCTATGATTATATTTTATACATACATAGCTGATGACTGTATGCATGCGTTTCGTTATGGCTGAATTAGCATAGTTTTCTTAGATTGTATCAGTATAATTCAATAATAATTGAAGGTCACGGGCCATGAATAGAGAATGCAGCGACCGTACGTGCGAGGTTTCTAGTGCTAATAGACAAAATAAATATAATATAGCATAACATCCCATCAATTTCCTTCCATTATCCTTAAAAAAAATGTACGTGCGCGTACGTGTTTTGTACAAAATTTGTACGTCTAAAAGTTGTTTCTTATCCTTGTTTTGGAACAAACATATGATTCACTCAACTTGACCGCATACATTCTTATCACATGGTGAAAATGTTTAATGCAAGTACCTATGAATAACATACTACAACATTCGCTTGATTCCAGTTCAATATTGAGAACAGAATAATAATCAAAGTAGATTTTTAAATAAGATAACATGACGCACAATTATATTTTGTTCCGGTAGGACCTTTACTCATACGAGACACACAAGAGACAGATTATTAGCTGTGTGATATAGTCCACCTTGGTTACACAGAAGGACTCTCGGTCAAACTTTAATCTTTTTTCCTTCTTCTACTGCAGGTGAAATTCTTCGTAAGCATCAGTCCTCCCTATTCTGCCATGCCTCTATACCTCTGGCCTGCCTCTATACCTCTGCCCTGCCTCTATACCTCTAGCCTGCCTCTATACCTCTGTCCTGCCTCTATACCTCTAGCCTGCCTCCATACCTCTAGCCTGCCTCTATACCTCTAGTCGCGGCGTCGGCTGAAGGAAGGCAGGCAGGAGCCCCGGATGTGAACAACCACAAGTCTGAGGCCACGCCCACCCAGACGGAGCGACGCGGCCAACGTAGCTTGCACACACTCTGCACTTACTAAACTTAATTAGATCCGGTAATTAAGAAGCGCTCTCGACCGATACCTTTACGCTGAATGAGCAACAAGTCACTTTGAAACAATTTCAAGCATTACTCGTATCATTCTTAGAACTTTTTTTATTAAACCCTACGTCAAAATTTTTTTCGAAGTAAAAATGAAATTGCTTTAAATCAAAAAGTGACCTAATCGTTTAATCATTAATGTAACCATTTTATAGTCAATTATTCTTAAAAAACTAGAAATCACACTCGATGAACTCAGTGAGAGCGAGATTTTCCTCGACCAGACGACACTCGCGGGCCTGTGCTGTCCCGGCGTTCACACGAGAGAAAGTGACTAGCGATCACCGCTCGAAAAATATGGCAGTTTAATTATACGTCAACTATGGAGCATCTCTCTTCCTAAGCATAAATATGCACTTGAAAAAGATGTCAGAGTTTAAGTATACGTCACCTATGGAGCAGCTCTCTTCCTAAGCATCAATATGCACTCGAAAAAGATGGCAAAGTTTAATTATACGCCAACTATGGAGCATCTCTCTTCCTAAGCATCAATTAATATGCACTTGAAAAAGATGGCAGAGTTAAATTATATTATAACTATGGAGCATCTCTCTTCCTAAGCATCAATATGCACTCGAAAAAGATGGCAGAGTTTAATTATACGTCAACTATGGAGCAATACTTTTACAAAGTATCAATATGATCGTTTATTCTAAAATTTCACGTACAGTTATGATTTGAATTTTAGACTCATGGGCATTGTAATTATTATAAATAAAATAACGCACAATAGTGTGGAGTGAATAGTATACAGTTGTCATATTCGCATTTCCAGCTTTCATTTCAATGAGTGGAAAGACGCTTTTTCTACATTGACGAATTCACACAAAGAAATTACTGAGAAGCTATATTTAGTTCATATAATTCGAACATAAATTCAATAATATATTATGATACGGCCAAGCTCCATGATCCGGTCCAAACAAGTCTCGAGATCAAAAGTATTACCTGGAAATTACATTATTATATATAATCGGGGTATAACTAAATAATAATAATTTCGTGTAAAGTGTTAAAACCATTTCCTGCATGACGAAGCAGCGCCTTGACAGCTCCAGCTCCCTATGGATGACATCCACCACCACAACTCCATGAGCCTTGGCAGTTCCAGCTCCCTATGGATGACATCCACCACCACAACTCCATGAGCCTTGGCAGTTCCAGCTCCCTATGGATGACATCCACCACCACAACTCCATGAGCCTTGGCAGTTCCAGCTCCCTATGGATGACATCCACCACCACAACTCCATGAGCCTTGGCAGTTCCAGCTCCCTATGGATGACATCCACCACCACAACTCCATGAGCCTTGGCAGTTCCAGCTCCCTANGAGAGATTGCAGGGCACGCGTACGAGAGATTGCAGGGCACGCGTACGAGAGATTGCAGGGCACGCGTACGAGAGATTGCAGGGAACGGGTATGAGATTGCGAGGCACGTGACTGTAAGGAACGCTGCACGCGAGATAAAATAATTCAGAACTTCATGCGGCAACAAGCCGACGTTCTCTGTTCCAGTTCCGTCACGCCAGAAATGTTTTTGCATGGACGTCAACGGACCATTTGAAAAAATGCTTATTTAATGCGGTCAAAACAGGCTATGATATTTTTTGCCAACAAGATTTCTATGCGTCACAAAAAGTGAAAGAAACGCTTCAATAAACAAAACCTGCATGGCCGAAAATCGTCGCATTGAGATTATTATAGATAGTTTACGTAATGCCGCGAGTATTTGTTTAGATCAGAAGACTTTGGGGTTTTCCAATTCAAATGTAGTAATTTATTAATTAGTAAAAAATTAATTCAGAAAGTCTGTGACCAATTACCATAAAATAAAGCGTGTGAGGGCTGGTCTAGTAAATTGTGTGAGAATCAATTGCGGGTTTTCGTAAACCTACACTCCTACTACACACGAAGAGTTCGCACCTGCAACCGTAAGTGTGCACTACGTACGACCGAACGCACGCACGCACGCACCTACGAGCGCACGGCAATCAACGCACGCCAAGCCGGTAAGCGCACAACCGCAAACGCAAGGACGCAGAACGCAGCAAGAACCAAATTGCGATGAAATCTGTCTCTTCTCACAAGCTTGGGGGAGGGGAGAGAGAGGTGAGAGGAGAGGAAAGAGATAGGTGAAGGGAGAGGAGAGAGAGAGAGGGAGACCGACCGTGTGGGTGAACAGCTAAGACGTTTTCTTCTTAGACGCCACCAAAAAGTAGTTGAAAATGAAGTAAATTGCGATGAAATCTGTCACTTCTCACAAGCTATGGGGGAGGGGAGAGAGAGAGAGAGGTTAGGGGAGAGGAAAGAGAGAGGTGAAGGGAGAGGAAAGAGGTGAGAGGACCGACCGTGCGGGTGAACAGCTAAGACGTTTTCTTCTTAGACGCCACCAAAAAGTACTTGAAAATAAAGTATATTGTGATGAAATCTGTCTCTTCTCACAAGCTTGGGGGAGGGGAGAGGAAAGAGAGAGGTGAGGGGAGGGGAGAGAGAGAGGTGAGGGGACCGACTATGCGGGTGAACAGCTAAGACGTTTTCTTCTTCGATGCCATCAAAAAGAGAAAAGAATCGTGCAGAGATCACGACACTTAGAAGGCACCGCCGTGCAAGTAACACGGTCCAGCTACGTGTTATTTAGACCGTGTAGCTGGGGCTCCATGACACCTTGAAAACCAACGGCTTAAGATAGAAAAAAAGTGTCTCTGCTAGAAACCAGGGCCTATACTTTCAAAAAAAGTTAAGAGATCTAAATTCATCAGCTAATCATTGACGGCCTTTCAAGCAAAATTTGCCAATCACAGACAAGAAAATAGAGCGAAGTACTTACGTTCACTTAGCGAGTTTTGAAAGTATGGCCCAAGGCGTTCAACTAGAATTCGTAGAAAATACTTCAAATGTATGACAAAAGGCAAACAATGGAGAAATTAAGATACAAATCAAGACGAAACATACACCGTTGTGAATTTTGTAAGGCAGTTTCCAACTATCTTTCCGCTCCTGAAGTGCACGTTTACCTCATCACGTTACGAAAAAAGAATTACCAGGGGAAGCAAATTACTGATGTATTGAGGGCACAAAAATACCCATGGACATGCAAGGACAGGAAGAATGCGGATGAAACGAGTGACCGAAGCGAGAGCAAATTAAAAAGACAGGAACAGCACGAGAGGGACGGACGGTGCACAGGAAGCTGCGAGAGGAAGTGCAACGACCGCACC